GGATATAACTACCAGCATAGAAAAACGCTGTTATAATTATTAGAAAAGCTAAGCTATATCCAAGTAAAGTCCAGTCTCGTAATTCTTCTACTCGATCATCTGGACAATGCCATACGTTATGCCACAAATTCATTGTATCGTTCATCTGAATTTACACATTACGGTGGTGCATTGATACTCGAAATGATTTCATGAGCCTCTCTGATTAATTTATTACATAACAGTGTCATACTTCTCATACCGCGTAAGACCTACTGTATACTATTAAAAAACTTTAGTCGTCATTTCAGCAAAATACAACATTTACGATATTTTGAACAATGAATCATGTAGATCGCTTCTGATATTATTTGCAAAAAAAAATTCAAATTAAAAAGTTTAAAAAAACTAAGGAGTAATTTTTTGACAGAGGACACTTAAAAGCCATAAATTTTTAGGAAGCACTTGAAGTAATAACGATCACCATAGAAAAAAAAAAACTAACCGTAGTTTCGACATCTAAACAAAAATTAATATTCGGTGTAGTGTATATATACCAGTAAAACTGGAATAACTCATTGAATGAACTCAGACATTTCTCACAAATAATCGATTCATTAGCTCCAAGAAATGAGAAGTTAGAAACGCAATGTCTCCAAGCATACAATTTATTTTCAAACTTTATAGTGTCGTTATAGTAGGCATATTCAGTGCTGTTTGACTCGAGGTGCCAACTGATTTTCACACAAGCTAAAACGCACGAAACCAACAATAATTTGAAATGAAGTATTTGAAATATATTTACCTAAAACAATTTCTAACTTTTTTGTTGGTGATTGTTCTTTCGTATACTACCCAACAATGAGACGATATCAAATTATAATCACTACTACAGGACACAAGATAAAATATTGTTTAAAATGATTAAAAGTAACAGATGTTACCTAACTTTCTTAATTTGGATAGACAGAAGAAATTTTATTTCAGATTCATGACTTACTTTTAAGCTTGAATATTTATTTAAACTTATTAAATTCAAGCTTATTGGATCTAGTGTTTCACTAAAACAAATCCATTTTACTTGCAACAGACAAGTAAAAGATTTTACTACTCTCAATATTGTTTTATTTCAACTTAAACAGCATGTCTATTTGCTATGCATAAAGTGTTTTAGTTCCACAAAACAGCACAACGTTTTGAAAGTCTTCTGAAATGGACAAGGAAGTAAAGTAGCAGGCTGACAAAAAACTCGAAAAAGGAAAAAAGAATCATGATTGCATTATTGCTATGATTCATTACTATAATGAAAATAAAAACTTTACAAGAACAGCGCGAATTTTCCCATATGTTTGTTGTTATTGTCATCGATACCTCTGACACGTAGGAAATCAAGTAATTATCATAAATTACACGACTGCAAGTTGTATTGTCAAGTGAAAATACGTTTTCCTAAAATTGCAAATTATTTTATAGTTAAAGCTCAATTTTTAAAAGCTATACCGTTTCAAAGTTGAAAAAATTTCATCTTTCCATTGTAAGCTTAATTAATGAGTAATAAAATAATTGAATACATAATTTATGAGTTTATCCATAAATCTCCCTCGATTCAAACTTCTGAACCATTTTTCCTATTGATTTAGCAAGAAATTCATGATGCCTCATAATACATGTTTTCTTAAATTTAACTTTTCTGTAACAAACCACGCTTACCAATTTACGTAATTTATATTCTATCTGTTTGAACGCAATGTATTCTTCGATACAATATGTGCAAACTTTGGGTGGTGAGGAATATGCTGCAGCACATCGTATCATTCTTGAACTCGCTTTTGCGAAATCCTACAAAACATAAATATTAATCAATAAAATATTATGATCTACTTGAACAATATCAAATATAAAATTAAAAGTAACAGACTTAAATATCTTGCTTTAGCCTGGTGATTAACACCAAGTGTTAAGAGAAGTGAATTTAAGTTATAAGAGATATTTCAAGAGAGAGTGTTTAATAACTTCTTAAAATATCTACATTCAGCAATATAATATATTGGTTTAAAAAAAATCTATACAATTTATTAGCAAATGCTAAATAAAAACCTCAATGTATGGCTGACAATGAGCATTTAGGTCCCATGGATCGCTTGATGCGTAATTTAGTTCATTGTTTGCAATGACATATGAACAAAAGCAAGATATTACATAGACCACACCATTCATCAATTTCGCTTACTGGAATATTTCAAAGCACTTTAAAATCAAAATTTTTTAAACCTATGTAGCTTTTTATCTATCAAAAATATAGATATTAAATGATTATGGGATAAAAGTATTAAAACTTCATTTGTCTTCCGTAGCATTTACTATCGATTTCTCGTTGGTCGAACAAAACTAGTAGCTTATTTTTTCATAAATTATATACAGTGAGCCATATTATATAATGATATATAGTAAGCCTTGTTTGCAAGGCAAATAAAATTAATGTGAAATGTGTAAGTGAAGAAAATAAAGAGAAAACGAAACATACTTATAGCATACAAAGTATTACAATGAAAATAATAAAACTAACATAATACGGCTGATCCAAAAATTTTCATAGCGTCATTATCATGATAGTTCTGAGCAATCTTAGCAACACGTAATAAAAGAATAGAATGGATTTGTGGAGACTACTTACGAAAAAGAGCAACGAGAGTTTAAGAGATGAAGTATAATTAGGGAATGAGGGAATTGTGTATTCGCTATTTGGGAGTAGTAAAGTATGAGAGTGAAATGCGAAATATAATGACTAATAATGCTAATAGGAGGATTTAGACAAGCAAACATCTTTCATTAAACCATATACAATGGATCATGCGGTTCATATGCAGTATATTAATAAATTTCATTTATTTATTGACATTGTTCAAACATTTTTCAACCACGTATTTCATACATTCGTACAATTGGTTATGATTTCGTTAAAGAAAAAATTGCGCAGTTTACTTAGAACAAAGATTTATCCCTCAATCCATCAACCAATTAATTAACATCTCTTCTTGTTAATGGTATAGTAATATATGATATTCCCGAAAAGATTAACAATTCCTTATTACCTTATATGTGTATGATATCCTTTAATTTAATTTATGCTTTCTAATCTGATATATTAAGCGCTTTATTTTCATATGCTTCGGGCAACCTGTATTATTCTGTCCCGATTATCACCTTCCAGTTCATCTCGTCGGTGTTACTGTATCAGAAGATGTTTCCTTCATGCTACGAATTCATTGCGCTTTGCTTCTATTGACAATGATAAAAGTTTGTCATTTACTTTAAATTGTAGTTAAATAGGAAAAATTGAACATATTTGTTAAATTTTTCAAATGGATGATAATACATTGGTTTGTTCTCTAATTTTGTTTTTGCATTAATTGTTTTTGAAATGTTAATTGTGGAGCTGTTTTGCTTATTTTACTTGTGTTGTCTGCTTGAATTTTCTTGGAATTTAAACGTCTGTTTTTTGAGGCAAAAAATTACAAAGGTATATTTAGAAGAGAAAGTAAAAAGTGACGATTTGAAAGTGGATATGGCAGACTTAGAAGAGGCTTTGAAACGAGATGAAATGCCAACAGATTACAAAGAAAACATTCGAAAGTTAAAGGAGCAGGTAAGTTATCTATCTTTTTTTCTCAAGTATTTCAAAATTTTCGATCATAGTCAATTTTGCTTAAATCGTCTTTCCTTGTAGAAGAAAGGGATTCGAGAAATTTTCACAGGAAAGCTGGCTATGGTTATTGTTGGTGTTAGTATTATCCTAGCTATCATTTTGTCAGGTTTGCGCGAAAAGGTAAACATATTTCGTCTTCTTTAAATTCGTTAATAAAAGTTTTGTCGTCAATAATGCAAGGCGCTTTTAATTTTTTTGGTATTAGCAATTGTCACAGTATGTGAAGCATTTCGAAATTTGGTTTTTTGAAATATAGTTTTGTAAGGGAAGCTTAGTGTCAGTTATAAGCATTTAGCAATACTGTAGAAAATGAGAGAACTGGAAAAGGAAAGGAAACAAACAATTGGTAAGGCTCGAATTGGTGGTCCGTGGGAATTGCTCGACATGGATGGTAAATTAGGTGGATCCGAACAACTTAAAGGAAATTGGCTTCTGTTGTATTTTGGTTTCACACACTGCCCTGATGTCTGCCCTGATTCCATTGAAAAAATGGTTGAGGTCAGTTTCTTTTTTTCGTTCCGCCATTTTTTTTTACGAAATTTGCTGCTTTTCAGAAAAGTTTTCCATCTACTTGTTTTATTTTTATTGGTGTGTAAAGCAGAATAGTCAAAAGCTAAGATTTATTTTGCGAACTATTGAATTTAATATGAATTCATGACTTAAATGGTTTGAAATGGATGACTTATACAAGTTTCAGGTTGTGGAAATTCTTGAAAAAAGTGAAGAAAAAATCAAAGTAATCCCAATTTTTATATCCGTAGATCCAGAACGTGATACCGTTAAAAGAGTGAAAGAATACTGCGCAGAATTTTCTCCCAAAATAAAAGGCTATACAGGTTCAAAGGAGCAGGTAAAATAGTTTAATTTTCGTTGAGATCATTGGTGTATTCAAGGTAAAATGAAGTGAGAAATGAAAATATATCGCTCTTTCTTCAGGTTGCTAAAGTAGCAAAGGCATTTCGCGTCTATTATAGTCAAGGACCTAAAGCAGATGGAAATGATTATATTGTTGATCACACTGTAATAATGTATCTAATGGATCCAGATGGCGATTTTCATGATTATTATGGTGAGCTTTTTCTTTTGTAAAGCTGATCTCAACAAGTGTTTTAGATAACATTTTTTTTAATAATATTCTTTACTGATTCTCGTCTTCCTCCTTTATTCTAAAATTAGACACGTTGTTGCATAACGATTTTGATGTTTTTTCTTATTGTTTTATTTTTTCTGCTTACTTTTTTTCTACTTATTAGTTGATTATTGTTAATCAATGTACATATTTCAGGTCAGAATCGTTCTGCACAAGAGATAGCAAGAGTTATTAAACTGAAAGTTTTCAAGCGTGATATGATGCAAAATAAGAAAAAACTGTGGTTCTATTGAGCCTATTAGGCCTGCATTTAGTTTTCTATAAAAACTTCGTCATCTAGGGTAAAAAAATTTATGAAAAATTCTTCAGTGATGTAAAATTTTCCATATTTTTGTTAGCTTTTTTGCTACAATGCTTTAAATATTGTTGTAGAAGCTTGTTATCTTTTATATGTGCCTGCCTTCAACGTGTTGTTCTAGAGATTTTGTTATCGTTTTATATTGTTGAATAGTCAAATTTTACTAATTTTGCTATCACTGATATTTTTTATGCAGTCACTTGTGAGGAAATGAACTTTTGATTTGTATTGATTCTCTTCAATTTTTTTCCTTGCTAAAAGTGAAGAGCTTGTTATCTTTGTCATATTGATAAAATTATGTTTAAAAACTCTGTTTTATTATAATAACGATTGGCTTAAATGCCACTTAAATTATTTAATTTTTTAAATATTAGAATGCAATTCCAACCTTCTAATATTGAGAAGGGAAAGGAGAGTGAAAAAAAAAGTATTAGAAGAAATAAGACGTATTATAAAGTAGATGGGTAAGGTTTTTCGTAAAAAATTTCCTGTATGTTATCACATTAAATCTCATCGCTGTATCTAATTCTTTTCTCTAGATGTCTTCACCTGCAATACCGAAGCATTATACCGTGCGTATACCGAAGTAAGTTTTAATAATCGTATTACATTATTCATATTGATAAATTTTGTTATCAAACTCGGCGAAATATTCGTGCTTGGTAGTTTAGATTATTTTGCTTTTTTGTTTTTAGTTTTCTAATAATTAAAGAAGATTTTCAGTTTTTCATACGTTCTTGCAGGCGCAGTGGATTTAGACGTTATTCAATTTTAAAATTCAACGGTACTTTAAAAATTGATCCAGGCAAATGGGCAACGGCTGACTACAATATACGAATGGCACGTGAAGATAATAAAGAGCAAGCAGCTGTAAATGAAATTCGGCAGGTTAATTTTTCCACTTTTGCTGAGGGTGCAAAACTTTTTTTTGTTAATTATGGCCTGTGATATTGCTATTGTTTAGAGAAGAAACTTCATTGGATCCTCGCTTTTTTTCTAATTTTGAATAAAAATTGGTTCAGTTCAGGTTTAAGAAAAATTTGGAAGCTCTGTGAATAGATTATTCTTCCAGTCTAATTTACAACTTCAAAAATGCTTGAAATTAGTACAATCCATTTCTGCAGGACTATGGAGAAGGCTCCGAATATGGTAAAGCATTGCGAGAAGAAGCACGACGCAAGAAATACGGCCGACAGCTACAAACCTATCAACATGACAATCAACCTTGGGTGTTAACTATTACAGATTCAAGTACATATTTCTTTTTAATTTTGACATTAACTTTATGTTTAATTATAACTTTATGTTTAACTTTATGTTTAAGCAGTCAAACAGTACTGTTTTAATTTTACTCTAATATATTGACTTAATTTCAATTTTTTATGCGCAAATAAATAGTGAAGTTGCCGATCATAATTCACATTTTAATGTTGTTACTTTTATTTCAATGCACTTTTTTCGTACATATCGTCACTTTTTTCTTATCTTTTTTTTTCGTTAATTCAAGAATTCCGCAGGTACGAAAGAACGAAAGTTTCGTAGCATTCGTGAAGGTGGAGCAGGAGAACATGCAGATTATTGGGTGTTTTTGAAATCGGGGGAAGAATTTCATGCTTACAAAGTTGACGAGTGGTATCAATTTATGCCATTCTCTACTCATCGAACTCTTGACATTGATCAAGCAGAAGAACGGTTTCGTGAGTAAGGTTTTCTTCACTTATCCACTTTTTTAAAGCATATATGTATTTTTTTATAGATAATGTAAATAAATTTAATTTCGAAAAATGAAGATCCCAATTTATGGAACATTAACGAAATAGATTGGCTTTATGATCGCCTTTCAGATGATATATTTTCTACTATGACATATAGTTTCGTTATCAGTGTTAGACGTGTTGCACTGAATGGTCGAACAGTTCTATTGATTGTGGTAGTGAGCACACGTTCAAAACTAAACAAAATTGTTTCAAAAAATGGCATTTTTTTATTAAGTCTCAAAATATTTCTTTTATATTTATAATTTGTTCTGATGGGAGAAACGAAAGGAAAAGACTGGAACAGATATTTAAAGCTTTCAATTAATTAATGAAATCATGTTTTTAGACGAAACCGTGTCATGAATCAGTTCGCCCTAAAAGCTCAGATACAGCAGCAGTTAAGGGCTATGGATGAAGATGGTGAACAAATGATAAAAACAACGAAGTCACTTGTAAGTTTGTTCACTTTAATGTTTGTGTATTTTTTGATATTATTTCCTTTCAACTGTTTCAAATCAAAATTTCTAAATCTTTTCAGAAGATTAAAGATGAAGCCAGTTCGGATGAGAATTCTGATGGTGAGAAAGGTGACGATGAGGATGATGCTCCCGTGGGAAGTTTGAAACCGAAAAAGGTAAGGTTTTAATAAAGCTATGAATTCGATTTCATTCACGAACTTGTAAATTAAATTGTGAGAGTTCTATAGTGCTAGCCAAAAGTTGAAAATCTCTACTTATTAATCTCTATTTTAGAATTCGAAACCCACTGGTCGAGCTCAGAAAGACAAAAGGCAACGAGTAGAAAATGCAGATGAGGTAGCAGCTTATGAAAGTGATGATGGCGATGATGAGGGTCGGGAGTATGACTATATGAGTGATAGTGGTTCAGAAAGCGAGTAAGTTTCAACCATATTAGTTTTAATTTAATTGTTCCAAACTTAGGCGCGATACTTCTTATATCTGTCTAGTATTTTGTTTTCCGTATCTTTTTCCTCTGATTTAATTTCATGTTTTACAGTTATTTCATTGTTCATTATCCAAACAATGATACAAATCTTGTCGTAAATGTAGTGAGAAAATAGTTGACCATCAATTATAATTTTTTTTTAAATTAGAAATTGAAAAGAAATAGTTGCATATATTGCTTCTTTCATGCTATGTCGTTGAATTAAGTTTTTATATTTCAAACCATATTTTCTTCATTGATTAGTGTTATTTCTATTGTCCTTCCATATAATTCCATATAATCGACTCTAGTTAATTTTAATGAAATTCTCATTTGGGAACTATGGAAATATTAACTATCGGATATATAAGTATCACTGGATCCAGTATTTATCGTTTGATTACTTTGAGGCTTGTTTCTTTTAGATAGGTTAGTATATGTGGGGAACTGAATTAACTTTATTTTGATAATATTTCTAGCCGGGATACCGTCCCTATGGAACAAAAGGTGGATGAGGCAATGGTTGCCGTGGGTGACGAAATAGGTCTAAAAAAGTTGATTGGCGATGATTTTTCTGATAGCGACAGTAGTGATGTGGACGATATCAGTACGTGTGTCATTCCAGTTATTCACTTATTTTTAATAGAATTCTTTAAGACTATCATCTAAAACAACATTTTTTTATTAATAACTGAAGAATCTGACAGTTTCAATTAAGATTGAAATTTCAGCAAAGAAACTTTTTTCTGTAGAAGATGATGATGGTGATGATATTAAAAAACAGTTAATTGATGTCGATGAAAGGGGCAAGTTGCCATTGAAAATTTATTTATTCTTTATTTTGTGAAATGTTTGCTTTTAATTTTATTATGTTCATTCTTTCTGTAAGTTCTATACAAAAAATAGATCTTTACGTTTAGGATAGAAGAACTTTAATTTGTGATTCATAATAATTATTTTTTGTTTTAAATCAAAGAATGAATGAAAGCAGAAACAGATTTTATATTTTGATAAATAGACTTTTAAGAGGAGATCTATTGTTGAATTGAAATGAAAGTCAAATATGAAACTTACAAAGTTAAAGTGATAAACACGTATTGGTTCAACTTATCTTCAGATTCATCGGGTAGTGACTCGGATGATCCTGATAAGGAAATTAACTCTGCAATCTTCTTACCCGTGGTAAGCTTTTTTCTCTTTTGAATTAGAATTCTTTTAAAATTAGTCACTCAGAAATTTTGCAGAAAAAAGCCCTAGAAGAACCATCATCATCAGCAAGGAAAAGACCATTAGAAAATGCAACTTTAGCAGATAATGAGGTGAAGAAAATCAAAACCGAACAATCGTAAGCTTCGTTATTTTCCTTCTGAAATGAATACTTTTTGATTGGTTTTACTGGATAATTTTTACTTTTTACTTTTCTAATAGATATTTAAAAAATCATGCGCTTTTATTACTTTATAGTCTAATAAAAGTTAGCATGACACCTATGCGTATATGATGAAAGGTCATTTAAGAATTGTTTTACTGCATTTAAAGTACGGTGTCAGCTAAATTTGTGTTTCTTTTGTATTTCTTCAAGTTTTAACTTATGTTTCCAGTGACGTTTGCGAAATACTTCAAGATTAACTGTTTTTCATTCGAGTGTGATTCTAGCTAAAAACCCATTGATTTATTCATAAAATTATATCTGTTTGATCTTTGCAGGCTTACAGCATCATTGGATTCTATACAACCGATAGCAAATCAGGATGGTTTAAATGAAGAGACAGTTCGACGGTATCTTCGGAGGTAGATTTTCTAGTGTTTATGACCTCTTCGTTCATATATGTTGTTGTAATGTTGTTGAAATAATGAACGTTATAATTTATTTTGTGATATCCAACGAATTGAAGACAAGATCATTATTTTCTGTCTTAAAAGTTCTTAAGCATGACATTCTTTTATGTCTATGTATTTGTATTTATTTATGAAAATAACAAATAACTTTGCTGTTTATCCATTAATTTTTCTTCTTCCCTTATGTAGTTGACAGCTCATTGACTGGAGCTTTGTTTTGCAGAAAACCTCATACAACGAAAGAATTACTTTCTAAAATCAAGTCAAAATGCGGTGATATGGAAAAATCGGAAATAGTACAAAAACTGGCCGCTATATTGAAACGAATAGAACCACATCAGTTTAAACAGAAGCATGGCAAGAAAGAAGTACTATTTTTTTCATTAAACAATAATCTTGGTTGATTTTTGTTATTGCAAAATAAGTACATTTTCCAATGGTAGATGTGATCATGTTTGTCCTTCTTAATTTCTTTAAAATATTAATTGTATGTCATGCTCACCGTGACTTTTGAAAATATTGCAGAAAAAAGGCACAAAAAAAACCTATAAAAAATTTTCCGGATAAGAATTATCAGATAGGAACTCAGCAGTTTTTAAATTATCTTTGCTTTCGTCATGAATGGAGACATTGAAATGGAGGACAATTTTTTAGAGGCAGTAATTCAATATCGATGTAAATATTATATGAATTAAAGCGTTATTTTTCTTCTGTTACAATAACTTTCCAAATTCAAATAATGTGCAGTGCGGATCGTAAATGACTTTTTCCAGTTAGCTCTATTAGTTTGCAAGAGGTTCATTCGAAACTGAATTTAAGTTTTGGTTTGAATTTTTGATCTATAAAAAGACATTTCATCCTTTCTCCTCATAAAAATATGGACAATGATATCAGTAATTCATGGCAGCAAGCTGGGAGGATTTCTCTAGCATACAAAAATAGTTTTCCTTTAATTCTGGCATTATAATATTTTTCTAAAAATTGGGAATAATTTTAGATGCAACATACAAATTCTACTCAATAGTATGCGTTATATTGTGATGTAATCTTATGATTTCATTAGATGTATATGATTTTAATGATAAAGATTGTGACTTGGAATAATTGTTGTTTTGCTGAGCTTACGTACCAATGTTTTAGTGATAAATAGTGATAATATTAATATTTGGATGCTAATCTCACTCAAGCTATGATAAAATTCGTAGAAAAATATAGGAATAACAATCAAACAGCGAGAATTTTCATTTATTTACAATGAGGATTTATTTGCTTCAAAAAGGAAGTTGGAGACGAAATGGGATGTATTTAGTGGAATATTATTTGCTAAGCACAAGTGATGCTAATTTGGTTATATTATTATGAAACGATCACGTTGTAAGCAAGTTATCGTTGTTGTAGCGAGATTTAAATAGAAGTTCAAGTGGGAATTTTAAGTGGATTCATTTCATCATGGCATATTTCAGTAAACGCTACAAATCTCATGGATCGTATGAAAAGACAAAATGTCAGATCAGTAGACTTCACCGTATTTCTAATTAAATATACTATTAGTAATTACTGGATATAGCAGATATGATTAAAAATGATTTAAAAGATATCAAATGCGAACAAAGAATGAATTATGGATATTATGCACTTATTTAAAGAAATTTGTTGTTTAAAATAAGGAGTAGTAATGAGATCATTGAAAGAGAGTCGCACTATAAGAAGTAAATAATCATGTATTAAGTAGTAATTTTCCTTTTTTGAAAAAGAAGTTTAAAAGAAAAAAGGAAAATATAAAAAACCTGAAAGGAATAGTTGGGGAAAAAAAACTTGTGATGAATGAAATAAAAAAAACTCGGAAGAAACACTTAGGAGAAAAAATTAGAAAAGGACGTTACTTTAAAAAATGCTTAAAATAGTTTAATAGCTATTTTGTCTTCTCACCTGTCAATTGTTGCAATAAGAAAAAGAAATGAAAAAAGAATGTTACTTCTTTAATGAATAATAATAATAATACCATCATATTATTACTATTTTTTTTCATTATTATTATTAATTATTAATTAATTGACCAATTAATTAATTAATTAATGCTATTATTATTAGTGAAGAAATAATGCTAGCGAAGAAAATTCGTCAAATTAAAACAAAACTACCTGCTCACCTATTACATAAATGATTGAAATAGAAAATATGACATCTGACATTTCAGTTATTTAAATTATAAGTCTGAATTATTAATTTGTTATATTTGTTGTTTGTTACTGTTAGAAATAAAAAATAAATGTAAATTGATGGAAGAATTGACTTGCAGCAAATAAGCAAAATTCTACTTTAAAATATCTATTGGAAGAAATTCATGCATGAATTTCATTTCGAAACTGAAACACTTGTCGTTGAAATATTGCTGATCGCTAAAAATTTTGCTAAATTAGTTGTCCTAAGTTAAGATTCAGATTGGATGTTAAATTACATTAAACAATTCCCGAGTTTCGACTGAAAATATTGACTGACTGATCGCAATTGGAATTAAATAATTACTGCATGAATCGACGTAATTCAATTTTTCGATTAGGAAAGATTCACTAACATGTGAGTAGTTTCACTTCTTGGGAACGAGGAATATTTCAATTTTTGCTAAAAATTAATGAAAATTTATGAAATTTAAAGTTCGATTTTTTTACAAATTTAAAAATTGAAAGTCAGATGTAGAACGAAAATGCCCCAAATTTGTGTACATTTTTTTTGGGTCATTTTTCTTCCTCTTTTTAGGGTCTACTCATCAACTCAATTTTAGCTTTCGCAAACAGTACCTTCATATAAAACATTTCAAATTTCGGCAAGTCCATGATCATAAGTAATTAATTTCTAATAACTGACACTCAAAAAAAAACTATTCCTTGTATCAATGCTATATTAATCATTTAATCCACTATTTAGAAAAAAATATATTTCAACTATATCAATGAAAAATCATAAAAGACATAATGAAATATATATATACATATTTGTATAATTACAGAAATTTTACAATAACGAGAAATTCGAGAAATGATTAATTTCGTAAATAAACTTGATATGAACTGTATATGCAATG